CGGTGAACCAGTCGGTTCAAATAACAAGGGAAATTTGATGAGAGGGATAGGTAATTTTGTAATTTCATTAAAATTAAGGGTTAAAATCAGTATAATAAAGGAATGGTGAGGGTGAAATTGGAAAAAATAAAAAGAAAATTGCATGAGAAATTGAACCGGTAGTTTTTTTGGTTTTACCGGTTCCACTGGTTCCACCGGTTTCATCGGTTTTGAACGGTTTTGACCGATTTTGAACGGTTTTTGATCGGTTTTGATCGATTTTGACCTTAAACGGTTTTTTTATATGAACCGAGCCATTTTCATTACCGAGTACCGGTCTGACCGATTCAACCCGCCAATCCGATCCGGTTTTAAAAACCTTGCTCTCTGTCTCCCAGGTAAGTTGCCATAAAGCCTCCTTCGCACTGCCGTACACTGCTATATAATACCCCACCAAGCTAAAAGCTTCAGCCACACGTTATTAGAAAATGAACACTGCAGAATAGACATGGTAAAATTGGATGCAATCCGAAAATCTAACTCAACCTTTTTATTATAGGTAGGGTCATAGGTAAGGTCATAGATCTTATGAATTCATCCAAAATTTAAAATAATCCTAATTGAAATTATCTGAACTAGAATGGAATAGGTCAGGAGTGAGTCGGTCATCCAAAATGACCTAAACTTTTTTTATTCATTTTTTATTAGATTACTTAAAAATTAATTTTAAATTTCTAATTTCTTAATTTTAAAGATAAAAATAAATAAAATACTCAAACCCTAATCTCTCGTCAATTTTACTTTCTCTTAACTTTTCATCTTCTCTACCCTCACTTTCCCCTTCTTCATCTCAAACTCTCTAATCCTTCTCTTTGGTGGCACTCGCGTAAAAAATTAGATTAGGTGGCACATAAGGAGTTATGTTATACGACATCGTAAAAAAGATCATTTTTTAAAAATAAAAGGTAAGAATGGCTACTGAAAATCAAAACCTAGTGGTTAAGGTACCATCATAACCATTAGAAGTATAAAGACAAGAACATCAAAATTCGTTCTTAGTTGCTAATTTGTTTTTAATTAATAATTTGTTCATAATTAATAAAAATCAATTCCGATCCAATTTCTTCTTGTATTTGGTTAAACATATTTTGGATTTACCTTTTAAACTTTAATATTAAATAAAACTATATTTTTTTGTATAATGCCCTTTTAAATATTGAATAAAATTATATTTTTTTGTATAATACTCTTATAAATATTAAATAGGCACTAAATATTAATATATATATATTAGATTTGTCTTGTGAACTCTAATCCAGTGTTTTTGGACCCGGCTTGTCCCCGTCGGTTGAACCGGTTGAATAGGACCCGAGCCTAAAAACGGGTCGATTGCATACCTTGGCCCGTTTTACCAATTAACCTGTTCTAACCCGCCATAACCCGCCCAACCCATTAAGCCCGCTCCTATC